GGCCCTACTGGAATAAATTAGAAAATGAACAGGTATATAACAGTGTAATAATGATAACAATAGAAATAAGACAATAAAGAAATATACCAAGAATAGCTTCACTGAACAAAGGCAAATAATGCATCACAGAAGAAAACAAGGAATGTTATGACACGGAACAAGGCAACAAAACACAAGTCAAGTAATAGAAAAGTATCAACAAGAATCATACCGAGGTACCGCCTCGTAGCCTCAAATCACAGAACATTTGACAATATTCCCTTATATCACCGCAGAAGCCTTGCATTTAGTTTTGAAAATCATTTTTCCCGAAATAGCTTCCCGCGTTTTAGCCCACCTTATCACACCGCGTGGCTTCAAGTAGTTTCCCTACTAGCAACACGCATATCAAGCCCATCGTATCTCACCGCATGTATTTCAACGCCAAAACCTTATACCAGCGCATGCGTATTAATATAATAACGTATCACAATATATATAAACCATAGGAAACTATTTCAAACAATAAAGTTACGACCTTTACAAAGAAATAGAAAGCCAACTCAAAAGGTCAACTCAGGCCCACATCTCGGAGCCCTACCAAAATTACAAAATCCAAATACCCATTTGATAACGATTCCAACCATACAAGAATTACTCAAATCTGACCTCAAATCGCCTTTCAAATACCCAAAATTTAGCCTAAGAAGTTTCACAAATATTTCCCCAATTTCAAACTCAAATCACTAGTTAAATGATTAAAATAACAATGAACGAGTTAGAATCACTTACCCCGATGAATTTCATGAAAACCCCACGAAAAATTGCCACAAACCGAGCTCTCTAGGTTAAAAAATGAAAAATGAGATGAAACCCTCATTTTGAAATTTTAATATTGCTGCCCAATCGTCCTGTATAATCCTCCCCAGCTCAATAAAATACTCTTCGTGATCGCACGAAGCCAGTCGCGAACGCGATGAACAAGTTTCCTCCACCCACGCGACCGCATCCCAAGTCACGCGAATGCAATGCACAAGTATGCCTCAGCGCCCAGCCTCACCTTCCTTATATGCGAATGCGATATACCCCACGCGTTCGTGATGAACAAGCTCAGCAAACTTCGCGATGATGCCCTCACCTACGCGAACGCGGAGGGAAAAAATCACAGCAGCTCTTGAAGACTCTACGCGATCACGGGTGAACCTTTGTGAACACATAGAAGGAAACCAGAAAGAAGAAAACCAGCATCTTCAGCAATAATGACTAAGTCCAATTTGGTTCCGGATTCAATCTGAATCACCCCGGGGCCAACGGGACCCCGTCCGAATATACCAACAAGTTCAAAAACACCTAACGAACCTACTCGAGGCCAAAAATCACATCAAACAACATCGATTCTACGAGTCGCAACCCAATACAAGCCAGTTGCAACTTTGAACTTCCGAATTCCAAAACTAATGTTGATTCATATCAAAACAACTACGATTGACATCAAATTTTGCACACAAGTCATAAATAAACTGACGGACCTATTCCAACTTCCAGAATTGGAATCCGACCCCGATACCAATAAAGTCAACTCCTGGTCAAACTTCTCAACCTTTCGAACCTTCGACTTTCGTCAATTCAAGTCAAAACAACCTACGGACCTCCAAATCAATATCCGAACACGTTCCTAAGTCCAAAATTATCATACGGGGCTTTTTGAACGGTCAAAACCCCATTTTGGAGTCGTCTACACAAAAGTCAAATTACACTCAATTCTATCAACTTACGGCTCCAACTTAGGGACTATGTGTCCTATTTCACTCCAAAAATTACCCGAAACCAAAATCAAACACTCTCGGCAAATCACATAACTATAATACAACACAGATGAGGCAATAAATAGGGGATCGGGGCTAAAATACTGAAAACAACCGGTCGGGTCGTTATAGACCTTAGTAGGGGGATCACAAGTATCGCAATTGTGAAGCCTGGGTCGCAAATGTGAAGTTGGCTTGGGCTAGGCTAGGTTCGCATTTGTGATGTATGTGTCGCTTTTGCGAAGGGATCAGGATTCGCATTTGCCAACCCATTTCCCATTTGCGAGATTTTCCCTCAGAATGTTAGTGCCAGAATTGCGAGCTTTTCTTCGAAATTGTGAGGGTTCGCATTTGCAAACCCATATCGCAATTGCGATAACTACAACTGGACATAAGGTTAGAAAAGTCAGGATTTCATCTTATTCTCACATTTTAGAACCCTATACTCAGTAGGGAAGATTTGGAGAGGGTATTTTCATCTATAAAAGTGATTCTAATCAATTTTCAAATATATTTCAAGAATATATCTTAGATTTAACATCAAATTTATGTGAACGAACGAGGAAAAATTGGGAAATTTTGTCAAGATCTTGAAAAGTGAGAATTTGAGTTTTGAGAGTCCATTTGGACTCGGACTTTAAAATTAATCACATATATGGGCTCGTGGGGTTATGAGTAGCCAGAATCTACCCTTGAACTCGGGTTTCGACTGGGCATTCCCCGGGTTGACTTTTGTTGACTATTTGGGAAAAGTGTAAGGATCATAGCTTTATCTATTGTTATTGGTTTCCCTTGCATAGTTTGATGACATTAAGTCAATTTTGGTTAGATTTGAGCCGTGCGAAGGTGTATTTTAAGGGAAAAACTATTTCCGAGAGTTGAGTTGGCCTAGTTGAGATAACTGTCTTGCCTAACTTTGTGTTTTGGAACTACCCCTTAGGAATTGGTTTGTTTGTGCTAATTGTGTTATATGAAACCCGTGTACGCAAGGTAGCGAGGGGGTACACGGGCTATATTTGGTACTTGACAGGTTTAGGCTATTTAGACTCTTTTCGCGCCTTTAATTGAATTGCTATAACATGTTATATCCCTCATTGTTAATCAAATTTTACATGTGTTAATCTTTCCTTACATGCTTTGTTTGACAGTGTTAACACTTCTTCTACATCTTACTTATTGTTTTGCTCTTATATGCTTAGTTGAAATTATTGCCTTTCCTTATTGCCTTGTTACATCTTTAATTGCTGAATTACTTGTAATTGAAGTTATTTCGTGAAATATCTTATTGCTGAGTTATTGGTGCTGAAACTGAGGAAGTCGTTATCACATTGAGGTGAAGTTATTATTGTGGAGATATTGTTCTTGTTGAGCAATCCACTCTCATTTTCTTATTGTTGATATTCTTGTGCACATTGTGGTTGAGCCATGGGCTATTTGTTGTGAAAATATTGATATTTTTAATTTTTGACAAGTTGTGGCATATATATGGGCACTTGTAGTGCGAGTTGTTATTGTGTTATGATATTGATGTACATGCGACGGTATAAAGATAGGGGATTATGTGCATGCGACGGCATAATATGGGATTTATGTGCGTGTTGTTAGTAAGGGAATTACTTGAAGCCACGCGGCGTCATAAGGTGGGTTAAAGTGTGTGTAGCTATTTAAAAAAATATTTTCAAAACTACATAAATGTAAGGCTCACGCGGCGGTATAAAAGAAGATTGTGATTGAAATTGTGAAAAGTGAATACGAGGCGCTACCTTGATTGTGATTCTTGTTGTGCATTTCATAATGAAAAGAGTTATTGGTTGGACAGTTCTTGTTGCTTTTATTCTTTCCTGTCTTATCAGTCTTGTTCGTATTTGACTATTCTGACTCTCATTAATTGCATCCTTCTTGTTATCTTTATGCTTACGACTCTCTCATTAGTTACGTCATCAAATTGCTTCATTATCCTTCATCTCTTCGCTTTCCATTACTCATTGTTATTATATTTTGTTCTGTTTATCATGTCCTAGTAGGTGTCTTGTCCTGGCCTCGTGATTATTCTACCGAGGTTAGGCATGATACTTACTGGGTACCGTCGTGGTGTACTCATACTACGCTTCTGCATATATTTTTGTGCAGATCCAGGTACGTCTGCCCGTGCTGGACGTTAGTGATTTATTTGTATCTGTTTGCTGGAGACTTCAAGGTATACCTGCTCGGCGTACGCAGGCCTCTAAGTCACCTTCCGTTATCTTTTTTAGTATTGTTGTTTCATTTATTATAGTGCTGTATTAAGTGTTTCGGAATATCCTGTAGAGCGTATGACTCAGTTTCATCGGGTTTTGCGAGCATTGTAGTTATGATTCAGTTTTCGAGATATTAATGAGATTTGTTAGTTTATATCATGTTTTTAACCTTTACTTCTGTTATAATCTCTTATTATGCTTACCTAATTTTAGAGAGTAGGTGCCATCACGACATCCCAAGGAGAAAAATTGGGGTCGTGACACCTCCACTATTAGATCTCACAATATTTGTCTTCCTATGTAATTGATTGTCAGCCCAGCTTTAGAAGAGCCTTCCTACTTATAGTATCGAGTGTTTTATCCCATCAATTAGACATTTGGCTCTTTCCCTTCCTCCATTAAGAAATTCAAATTTAACCTTTATGCCTTATGAGTTACATAGGTTACAAGAGTATGATGTAATTACCAATTAAATGGATATACAAATAAAAGATAGTTAGTGTGATAATTTATGAAGATGATGGCAGTAATTAAGTGGGGTGGATAGTGAAGATCATGGATGTCTCTCAGTTTACCCAATTTTGGTGTCTTAACATCAGGTTGGGTGTTAAAAACTCTTATCTTTTGTTCTTTTCTTTTCCCTTTTCTTTCTTTTGGTTCATTCATTTAGCAGTAAACGTTTTACTTATAACTTTTCTTTTTTTCTTTTTTTTCCTTTTTTCCTTTTCTTTCTTTAGGTTTAATCTTTAGAAATTCTTATGTTAAATATAGTAATGCATTCATGCTTTTAAAATTCTAAATATGCCTTTTGATCATTGATTAAGGACAAATGTATGATCTCTAGCACACAACACGTGTGTATTAACTCTTCAAATGTATTTTAAGATTAAAAAGTGGTCTACAAGTGCTGAAAATTTCATTTATCTATTTTATTTTCATTTAGGATGAATATGTAAACAAATGAAATGGATGGGAAAGAAGGAAAAAAAAAAGTGATACAATTAGTAAAGAAGAAAACAAATGGGAGATAACTAAATAACATATATCTTCTATTAAGATGGCACATACTACAATTACATACTGCTGGCCTAGACTGGACTCAAATTAAAAGAAAAACAGGTATAGAAAAACAAAAAACAAAACAACTCGTACAAAATACAAATGGATAAGCCCATTTTATTCTTCTCCTTGTTATTGCACTACGAACTAAAATGCTGGCAGTTTAAATTTGATTGTTCATCACTCTTACTCGATCCTGCATCACAAAAAATCGAACCAGCACAAATCAATACACAAGCTGCCACGTCTAAAGTTATTATATATATATATATATATATATATATATATATATATATATATTAATTTTCATCTGCTTATTAAATGGTCAATACTCCAATTAAGAAAATATTATATTGACAAATTAAATTCTGGTTTACACCATTATACAGGAACGTATTAAATAATTACTCGCTCCATCTCATAGTTTTTGTTCCATTTCACTATTTAATGGTGAGTTTTAGTCCTATCTCATAATATGGCCTGGACTTGATTAATTTGCAAACAATAAACTATTGTCAATAATTATGTTAATGTGCTAAAACAAAAGTAAATAAGTAAGCACATGAGCATGGAACTAAGCAATAGTGATGTAAGGGGAGTCTAGGCTTTAAGCTCCCTCTATCCGATGAAGGGCCGGATCGTGTTAGGCCTATTGTATGTACACGGCCTTATCTTACATTTCTGTAAGAGGTTATATCTATGGCTTGAAGTGACCTACTGATCATACGATGGCTGCTCTTACCATGTACTAAGTCTCCCCTATTAAGCAATAGTAATGTATGAGGAATATTAGATCAAGTAGATAATTTAAGGAGAGCGATTAAGAGAGTGAAGAAGGTTATATATACATGGAGCAGTCTGTGGAGGGGTTGATCTCGGCATGAACTTCGACTTCACAAATGCCAGGGAGATCACTGGCTTTGTCCCAATCGATTCCCGGGATAGCCCTTCCAGCAAACTGTATGCAAGTGCATGCAGTTTGACGATGGAGTTGGGTGTTAGCAGCGCTATGTAAAGCCTTAACACCAGCGCAACAACTTCCCAAATCTCCAGTATTTGTAAGGTAAGAGAGACAACCCATCAAGTTGTAAGTGACCTGATAGCATGTCAGGGCTTCTGCATGGCGGGGCATAGCCACCGCCATGCAGAATAGCACTAAGCATGCAATCTTTCCGATCATATTGAAAAATTTAGGAGAAATAAACAGAAGGTGATAGAATTAAATGTTTTGGGAGTACAAGTGTTGGGTAGAAAACCTTCTAACACCTTAGGGTTTTTATAGGGAGAAAATCGTGTTTAAATGAAATAATAAGGAGGAAGCTTCTCGTTAAAGTTTGACCACTCTGACGACGTAATTGTTTTTAATGGTTAGTTATATTATACTCCCTCCGTTTCAATGTATATGAAGTAGTTTGACTTGACACAAAGTTTAGAAAAAAAGATATTTAAAATTTATGGTCCTAAAAGTTTAAGGGGTAAAAGCTTTGTGGGCCATTATATTTGTGTGGTTATAAAAGTTTATCATTAAGGGTAAAATGAAAAAAATAAAAAGTTTAAATTTAAATTATTTTAAAATATAGAGATGTATCAGTCTTTTTCTTAATGGACTAAAACGAAAAATGTGTCATATTAAAGTGAAATAGAGGGAGTATAATTTTTCTCAATCTAAAAGTATACTTCCTTTTGTTTTCAAGAGTGAAAAAAGTGAATTGAACTTTTAATTAAATTTTATTTTTAGAAGTACGTCCCATATAAGATTTTTTTTCTTTTTAAAATAAACAGTTAAGCGGACCCGGAACTAAAAAGGGTTATAGTTTTGCAATGGATAGAGTACATGTTAAGCATAATGCATCCTCCTAGGTGAATATGAAAATGCCTTTTTTGAGATCTACACTTCCTCGAGGAAAATAATTGCACCATCCCATTAATTTCACCAATAGCAATGTATTCGTACATTGTGGAAAGGAGAAAATTAATTTTATTTTAGGTATATTTTAACTTATGAATTGAATGTGGATAATGGTATGAAGGGGAAACATTTAAGTGAACTTTACTTCTCTTCCTGCGGTTCTCCCCAACCAATAAAGAAAGAAAAGGTAACTAAATTATTTGCAGGGTGGGTCTTAGTCGGTTCGATTTGTGTTTACCCTAAAATTCGAGTAACAATTAAACTTGTATTGTGGTTTTAAAGATATATTATTTAATTCAATACTAACTGATAAACAATAAATCAAATGTATAAATTAAAGAGTAAGGCAAGTCAAACCAATATGTAAGCAAGTCTCGACCTCGAGCTATGACAACCTCGAGGTAGGTAAATAAGAATAATAAAATAATATCAATGAGATTTAGATGAGCAATAAGCAAGAAAGTGATATATGTATATTCTCTTGTCATTGATTGATGCCATACAAATGATTGGGATCCCCTTTATATAGCAGGGGAATCCTAAATAAGGTACACTTCTAATTATACTATGGAATCTTATTATACAGCTGTCTAACCGCCTAGTACAAACCCGTTCCGGAATTTAGGCCATAATCTTAGGGTCATTGCGGAAATTTCGCTCTTTCTATTATGAAAGCGGTATTATCTCGAGGTTGGTCATACTTGGCCTCGGAGTTCATCGAGCACTTCGATCTTCGAGTCTCGTACTCCGTCATCGGTCTCGAGCCTGGTCCATTTTGAACTATTCTTCGAAGTGAGACCCATCGAGCCTACGAAATCGGGCAAATTTGATTTCGACCATATACAGATAGTCCCCGCGTTTCTTAGAATAGAACGATAAGAAACGACTTGAGCCCCGATTTTTCGGAGTCTTTGATGATGATGTCATCCCCGTGACATAGGCGCTCGAAGTTACTGAAATGTCCCATCGGTTCGCTTTCCCAAAATATTAAATGCTTCACTAGTGGTGGTTGGCCACTAGCGCCGTCGAACCGTCGCTGCTTGCCTATAAATACTAGGCTCAAATTCGAATAAAAAACTCTACCTCCATCTTCAAACCACCTTCAAACTTCCTTTATATCTCCCCCTCTTCATCTTCCTCTCTCATTACCTGTTACTCTCGCCCTTTTAGTGCCAAAAGATATCAAGCTCCGCCTATTACCGCTTCCTTTAACTCAAATCAATGGCGAAAACCTCTAAAACAGTTCCTCAAAAGGAGAAAGCTTCCTCCTCCTCTTCCCGACCGGTCGGTGATAAAGCGTCGGCCCTTCACGAGATTATTCCCGGCCCCTGTGTCATAAAGAAAGACTTCAAAGTTGAAAATCCCCCCGCGATTCCTGATCGATGCGAGCATGTATCGAGGTATATTTGCTCGATAACGGAGATGCACCTCAAGGCCGTGAAGAAGGACTGTGGCTGGGGGGATATGGTCGTGGTATAGATCCCCGCCCCTAAAAGAGTATCACTACCCATGTGGAGGGGTTCTTAAGTGTTTACACTTACCCCTTCACGTTGGGTCCCCTTGATCCAATTGTGATCAACTTCTGCAAGAGGTATCAGGTCACCCTCGGCCAGATCCACCCTTCTTTCTGCGTATAGTGATCATGCTTCCCTATTTCTCCAGCAAGGCCGAGGGGCTAGAGTTCACCCTCAATCACCTCATCCGATTGTATCAGCCTCAGCTTTTTCGAGGGTTGATCAAGCTCCAACGCCGATCGACCAAGGCCTTCTTTGCTAGCAATGACAAGGATAAGGACCGGGGCTGGATGAGCCGGCTTGTACGAGTGAGGACCTCTGACGTCATCCCAGAGGGGAAAATGTCGTTCCCTGAAAAGTGGAACCCCGATTGTAAGTGAAGTTTTCCCCTAGTAGTTTCTTATATTCCGTTTTCGCATTGCGTGATGCCTTCACCTTTTTTGCATCGGTTGCTTGGATGCCCCATGCGGTCGCTGACCTCGAGGACTGGGTCCATAAACTAGTTGCGGCCTCCTCGTATGACGAGCGCCGATGGCGTGACTTGGCGAGGGGCAGATTGGAAGCCAAACACCATGGTAAGTTCCTCTCACAAGTTTTCAGTGCTTTCCCCTTTACTGGATACCTTACTTTACTCATACCTATTCTTCGTTCATGTAGGCATTGGAGATGTCTCTGAAATGAGGCCAGCCCCGCCCGGGGAGGAGACCAAGTCTCTGATTCAAAAATCGGGGAAAGATAATAAGAGAAAAAGGGTTTCGAAGCCCGAAGACCCCCAAGATGGAAGTGGTCCTACTCGAAGACGTAGGAGAAAACTTATCCATATGGACATAGACTCAGTCCTTCAACTGAACGATGAAGAAGAAGACGAGGGCGAAGAATCGGCGCTGGTGACCCGAGCCAGGAAACCAGCCGGAGCTGCCAAGCCTCCGAATCGGAGACCCTACCTCGTGGTGAGGAGACTCTGAAGAACGACGCGAGCAAATCTCGTGAATCACCCGAGGTCGAGATTGTTCCTCGATCATCAACAAACACACCAAAGGGAATAGGTTTCGAAATCCCCAAAGCTGAAAAGAGCGCCCCGAGCGATTCGCTCTGGGCCATGACAACAGGTCACTCTCCTCCTCTACCAGCTTACTCTGAGGAGGCAATTGGGGAAGCCTGAGCTCTGCGAACGCTTGACTTAAGTAAAGTCCCCGGTGAAGATGATCCTTTTCGGGATTGCTTTATTGGCGTCGATGATGCCGCCGATCTCAACGATGCATCTACTCTCTTCGAAGAGGCTCAACGTCTTTTTTCTCAAGTAAGTATTAATTCCTATCATTGAAATTTCATCTTCTCCCCTTATCCTAATTGATATCTTCTTTTTTTCTGCTTAGGCCTTTACCAGGTTTAGGGCCGACCTGAGCCAATGCGAGGCCGAGCTCAAGAAGGCCTCTGATGAAGGGAAGGCCCTGAAGCTTCTTTGCAGTCAAAAGAAGGAGGAGCTCAAGGACCTTCAGGCAGACGTGGCCAAGGATCGTAAAAATGAGGCCGAGCTAGACAAGCATGTAACTGTCATTTTGAAAGAGTATGGTCTACTCGACCCAACTGTGGAGGCTAACACTTCAGTGTCTCAGCTGCAGCAAAAACTGGAGATGATCGGGCTGCTTCGAGGGGAGGTCGATCACGTTAAGGCCGACTGCAACCGGTGGAAGGAAAATATGGACTCGTTTGCTATGGAGAAAGAGGCTGCTCTAGCCAAACTCGTATCGGCTGAGATCCAGCTCCGGGGTGCTAAAGAGAAAAATTCGGCCCAGGCCAAAAGTATCAACGAGCTCGAGGTCAAACTTGCCGAAGTCGGGGTTGAGGTTGCTGAAGCCAGGGCTGAGGTCGAGAAGACAAAGGCCACGGCTGATAAAACCATTGTTGTGTACTTGAGGGATGTTGAGGCTGCTCAAATGGAGCTAAGGGAAGCCTCCGACCAGGAGAAACGGAGCAATGATTTGGCCAAGTGCCAATCCTGGAGGGAGACCCTCGAAGAATTCCATGCTCGAGGTTTCGACCTCACCGAAGAGATAGCTCAAGCAAATGCGCTCGAAGCTAATGCCAAATTTCTCGTCTCCTCCTCCACCGACGATGATGATGAAGGCAGCCAAGGCGGGTCCGACAATGAAGGTGGGCTCGAAGAGGAAGTTGCTCCCGACGGAGAGTCCAGCCCTAGACATAGATAGGTTTTTCTTTCTCTTTTTGTATTTTTCTTTTTTGTAAAACCTTTTGTCGGTCTCTTGTACATATCCTTTTTCATGTATATAAAAGAAGAATTTCCTTGAATGTTTTCTTAATGTTTCTTGCCTTACAAAATTCTTGTAATAATTTCATTCTTTGAACGGTGTGTTCGAGATTTTGTCACGGGTGGCTTCGTTGAAGTTGCCGTGAGTCCCCGAGCCATAATAAAGTTATTATTTATTTGGGCTCGGGATAATCGAACCCTTGGATTCGGATTGGGTGAGAACAAGATGTCGAACCCTAAGTGTATCGGACCTTAGGCTCTTTTAGATCGGGCCATTACGGGCTCTAAGAGATGGCTATTATTTCCCCTTTTCGGCTTAAAAGACTTAGTAAAAATTTCTTTATGCCTTGGCATGCATATTTTTTACCCATTGGGCTTTTTTAGGGTTTAGTGTCGATTGAAACCCTTTTGTTTTTTGTGCCTTAGCATAAGTTTGCGTTTGAATAATTCGATACCTCTTAAGGTTTCTCGGGGGCTAGTTTTATCGAAGCCCTTTGATTATTTTGCCGAGGGTAGCCTTTATTAACCGATTTTCAGAGAATTCGAAGGCCTGTTTTTATTGGGGAATTCGGCCGTCTCTAA